CAAAGGCAATCAGTGGAGATGCCCACGAATACACACAACGGAAATTTTTTAGCCTAGTGTCCTCAACTTTTGATCCTCTGGGAATATTAGCACCAGTAACCATTTTGTTCAAAGCAATTTTGCAATCAACGTGGAAATTAGGCAATTCTTGGGACTCATTATTGCCCGCTAACAGTCAGAAAGAACTACAAAAGCTGCTAACCTCTTTGTGTCAATGAAACCTATCAGTCTTCCCCGAACACATTTCACAAGGCAATTAACAACACGGGATATTGTTCAACTTCATACGTTCACGGATGCGTCCTTGATAGGAATGTCAGCAGTCGTTTACGTGAGAGTCGAATATCAACCAGAAAAACAATTGGCAACTCACTATGTAATAGGTAAGAGCAAAGTAGCTCCAATCCAGCAGCTGAGTATTCCAAAATTAGAGCTTGAAGCAGCAATTATTGGATTTTGACTAGTTGCATTTGCTAAAGTACAACTTCAGCTTAACGTCGATCCTGACGTACATATGTGGACAGACAGTCAAGTTGTAATTGATTGGATCAACTCGAAGAAAAAACAAAAAAGTTTTGTGTCAAATTGTCTAGCTGAAATAAACGCTACTCAAGAAAACAATAACTGGCACCATATACCGACTCATCCGAACCCTGCTGATCACGGCACTAGAGGGATAAAACCTATAGATATCGAATCAAAATGGTTAGCAGACCCATCTTTTCTGGTGTCACAATCATCTGAATGCCCACAGAAGTCTTCCGTAATAGAAACTAATAGCGTCTCAATATTCGCATCAGTGTGTGCATCACAAAAACCGTATTCAGGTCCTTCAGTCTTTGACATCAGTCGTTTTTCTTCGTGGAATAAACTTTTGTTGACCATCGCCGCAGTTTTCAGTTGTTTCACAAAACTGAGCTCATCATCTGCAAAAGACCAAGACTTTAACGGAAAACATCAAAAAGAACGACAGCATTCAACTAGTAACGATATGGAACGAGCGAGAAATTGTATCATCATATCAGCACAGCAAGAATTTTTCAGTGAAACGATCGAACATCTACAACAGAAGCGGCGCCTGGAAGCGAAGAACAAACTGATTAAATTCAATCCACACCTTGACCAAAAGCATATGCTTCGTTCGCGCAGCAGGCTCGAATTTGCCCCAACAATGGAGCTTGAATCACGTCAACCGCTGATTCTATTAGCAACTCATCCAACAGTTAAACTCTATCTACAGCATGCACACCAAATTTGCATGCATCAAGGACAAGAGTTCGTCAAATCTTTCGTGCAGCAGCGCTACCACATCATTGGGATACGACAAGTTCTTCGTTCAATCGCTCATCATTGTTTCTTGTGTCGACGATACAAAGCAGACAACTTCCAGCCAATCATGGCACCAATACCACTGAAGCGATATGCCGACGAAAATCATCTTTTCCCGTTCACTAATGCTGGAGTAGATTTTTTTGGCCCCTTCTATATTGAAAACAAAACAGATATTGAGAAACATTACGGAATAATTTTTACTTGTTTTGCAACTAGAGCTGTTCATTTCGAAAACTGTCCAAATCTGAACACTGATTCACTTATGAATGCAACAGGTTGGTTTACAACTAGACGGGGAACTCCAAAAACGCTCACCAGTGATAACGGAAAAACGTTTGTTGGAGCCTCTAAAGAACTAAAAGACGCCATAAAAATGTTTGACAATAGAGCCTGCTCTTTCAAGCTACAACGGCAAAACATCCAGTGGTTCTTCAACCCGTCCTATGGCCCTCATTTTGGTGGCGCTTGGGAACGCTTGATTCAGATTGCCAAGAGAACAATCCTCATCATTCTTGGATGGCGAAAACTCACACTTGATATTTTTCAGACAATTTTAGCCGAAACCGAAATGATACTGAATTCGAGACCCTTGACAATTGTAACTTATTACCCAGAAAATGACGAGCCACTGACACCAAATCACTTTCTCATTCAACGAAATTTCAGCAGCCTTCCACCAGGAGTATTCGACGACAGCATGCCATTAACCTACACTAAAAGGACTCACGTTCAACATATGATGAACCACCTGTGGAAGCGGTTGAAGAAGCAGTACCTACCTTCACTAATGAAACGCCTCAAGTGGAACGAAATGCAACCACCATTGAAGGTTGGAGACATAGTGTGGGTACTGAAAGACCTCACGCCGCGAGGTATTTGGCCGATTGGACGTGTGGTGGAGGAACATCCAGGAAGAGATGGCACAACACGAGTGGTGACCGTGAGAACGGCTTACGGCACTCTCAACCGCCCCACTACCGCTCTTGTTAAGGTTTTTTGATTTTTTTGCAACGCCTTTTGCGCCGTTCCAGACAATTCGGGGCCCCGGGAGTATGTTGCCGAAGCAACTACATTTTTCCAATCTTTATAAATCAAAAGTCACTGTGATCAAACATTTGTAATCTCTGTGATATAAACACTCGCGAAACAAACCAGAACTAAGAAAGTTGACTCTTGGAGCCATGTTTTGACCTAAAGTGACAAGTCAACTACATGTTTTGCTGACTTGCCCTTTAAACTCTGGTAATGTTGTTTGTTGGAATCAAAGATGGTTGGAGAAAATAGTTTGCAGATTGGTGAGGGTTGCTTCTTCGATCTCTATTATCTGGTAGAAAAGCGTTATTACAATTTTGTCCAGAAGCTATCGACGCGGCGTTGATCCTTGTCTGTTGATGCATGCTGAATATTGGTTGCTATAAGGATGCAGTTTGGGTTGTGGGAAAGTTGATGCCTCCGGTACTAAAGAAACCGGATTCATATGAACCATTGGTTGCCATGAAGGTTGCGTTGATAACACTGAGTTAATTTGTGAGGTACTTTGATTCGGAAATGTAGAGGTTGTTTGCGTCAAGGGATATCTGAACGTTAAATCCGAGGTTTTGGTTGTCGTTGTTGTAATGAGGCTTACATCAATATCTTTCGAGATCTGATGAGAATATTCGCTACCGTTGAAATTGTTTGGAAAAACATCAAAGTGTAAGGCATGTTTTTCTAAATTGTAAGTTGGACAAAAAGCTATAAAAATCTGGAAAGAAAATCATTTTTCAAATTCACAAAAAATCATAAAACCTCCATACAACATGAGTGAAATGAAAGTTAGAAATCAGGTAAAAAGTGAGTAAAATTAATGTCTGCTAAAAATTACGTGTTTGTTTTCGACATACCTTTGCTTAAAACTCATGAAAATTTTGTGGTTTTTTGATGATGTTATTACAAGGACAAAAATCAACAAAACAATAATTATGATCGGAAATCAGCTGCAGTGCAAACGTAGCACCGACCATTCCAAACAGTTAGCTCAAAAACAAACAAGAAATCACCAAAATACTGTATTTTTCAATGTGTTGTTGATTGGCGGTGACTGGCCGAAATAAAAAAAAATTTTAAATCATTTTTTGTGAAAACGCTTATTCAAAACTTTGTGAAAATTTATTCAAAATATTTTCATGGCATTTCCAGTCACAATTTTATGGGCCTGATTATGAAATATTACCCAAATATGTAACGGATAAGAAATAAAGACTGCGTTAGTTTTCTTATTTAGTTCTGATAAAAATTGAATATGGAAAAAACCTTATTATCAGATTCCGTGGTAAACTAAAAAAAATACTTTCAGAGGAAATTCAAAAAATAAGAAAATAGATTTTTTATTAGTTATGCAAAAATTTATAAAATAAGAATCAAGACGCCCATAATTATAGCTGGAAGCTTCATGAGTTTGGCTTGATACGAGCAGATTTTTAAAATTTTTAACATTCTGAAAAAAAACAATGCAAAAGTTGATTATTTTTGAACCCCACAAAGTTTTACAAAAAAATTATCACCGGTGATTTCTTTCTAATTTAAAGCTCAGGAAAACAAAGTTTTAGATGGTATAAGAAAATTCCGTAAAAAATGGTTAGTTAAATAGTTGAAATTTGATGGAGAAGAAGCTACCAGAGCACACACTTTCCATTATTTTCTTCAAAAGTCTGAACATCTCAGGAAAGCGGAGCGTTTTTTGGCTACTAGCCAACTTCGTGTTTTATTTAGCTTTTTGTTTTGTCAATAATTTAGCAGTCTCGTATCAGGACAAAATCTGTTGGTTCCGACCTGTTGGCTCCGACTGACCATTAACTTTAAATAAAGACAAATTTTGAACACACGCTGATAGTATCCAATTTTAATGAAAAAGTTTTGAGTCGGTATTTTTTTGCTGGATAATGCGCATACACAGTTTCAGCATTGAATTATGAAACGAGCAGTTAAGTAAAACTATCTTCCCTGCTTTATTAAAGTCGGTTTTGTAGTTCGTGAGGGCAAACCTTCAGTGAAAACGAATATCCACAGATGGATCGCTGGCATAAAAATTGTTTTAAAATAATCTGAATAAAAAACTAAAAACCTAAGAAAAACTCGAGCAAATATAAACCTTAATGTCCTCAAAAGCCAGTACAAAACACCATTTGAAAGATTTTTGAAAAGTTTTTTTTTCCATATATTGGATTTAACCTAATTTTCGCTGAGATCTTTTTTGTGATAAGTTCATATTTGGATGCTTACTTGTATTGTCGGAGTAAATAAAATAAATTTTTAGAAGCACTTCAATAAAAACTGACCAATTTGATTAACTTTGAGATATTCCAAAATAAGTAAAACAAGCAGTTCTCTGAGTTGAACCTGGATATCATTTGGATTAAGAAATTGTACTGTTGTTTCAGGGTCAATTTGTCATAAAGCTCATGAAGAGTTTTTTTGTAAATTCTAACTATTTTAAACAAACTGAATCAAATTTTTGAGTTCGATTATTTCGGAGTGAACTCAATTGCGTTGATTTGCCGCGTTTTGTAGTTGCAAATTATCAGTTTGGTTCCAAACTTCAGACGGTTCTGACTTTTAAACGCTTTTTTAAATTCTTTTCAAAACGATTCTGATGTTGTATCAAAATATGTTTTTTTTTGTGTGTTCAGGACATTTACCTACTTTCCAGTATGATGTTCCTGTGCTTCATGACTCTGCTGTTCGCTTTTCTAGCAGTGCTGAAGGATGACCCCCAGAGAGCCAAGAGGGCAGACACCATCTGTCTCTCAACCCTAGTCCCATTCCAACTACTCTTCCATATACTATTCGGAATAGCCTTCTTCAAAAAGGTACACTCGTTATTTCATTGAATAGTATGATCAAAAAGTGTACATCTATCTTGAATAACAGCTTTTCACGTTTTTCGGCCAAAAGTTCCTGAATTATCTGAACGGTTTTATCTTCGAAAAGGGACACGTGTCTTGCAATAGCGGGATGTTTTTTGTTTTTCTGGCTAAAAATTTCTGAGTTTTTTATTTGAAAAAAACATCCTAATATTATAAGAGGAGTCTATCCCAGGGGCGGATTTAGGGGGAAAGGGGCGGGGGCGGACGCCCTTAACCCCCCCCCCCCCCCCCCCCCTCAGGGATTCGACGCCCTTCCGACCCAAAGGGTCCTCCCTTTGGTACTTTTTAAGAAATCCATTTTTGGCCGACCGACCCTAAATTTTTTCTAAAGGCGCCTTTGGTGCCAATATATACTATCTTTGGGGGGGGGGGGGGGGAGGGGAGCGCGCCAAAAAAACACAATTTTTTTTGTCAAAGTTTTCCAAAACTGCCCAAAAACAGCTTTTTTGACCTGTTTTTTTTCAAAATATTGCCTGCGGCGCAGAAATTTTGGCCAAAACAGAGTCTTTTTACTGCTTTAGGAGAGCAAGGAAAATCAATTTGGCCGACCTAAATAAAGGTCGTCAAAATTTTCGAAAATTGTTTGAAAATCCTCCCCTGGTCTATCCTATCTATCTCATTTCTTTTCATTTTTAATCGTAGGACATGCATCCATTTCCTTCCTTTTTGGCTGACCCGCCCAAAATATATAATTTTTGAGGCACCACCCCCGAACTCTATCAGAAAATCTTGAGTCCGCCATTTTCAAAACACTCAAACCATCCAAAACATGGAAAAGGTACCGTTTGGAAGCTTGTCTGGAAAAAAACATGTCAGAAACCGACCGTGTTGCTGATCTGATGACGTTTTTCAGACTAACAAGCGGCGAAAGGAGATGCAACAAAAAGACCTCGAGTATTTGGTTAGTACTTGTTTAACTTTAAACCTGTTTTTAAAAAAATGGAAAGGAATTTAACCAATTGAGAGATTGACGCGCGCACTTTCAAACTCATCGGTTTGCCTGAAAGTAAGAAACATATTGCGGCCCTCTGTTGTAAATTTGTCCGGTGAAGGTCACCATTTATTTTTACGCTTCAAAAATTTCTCATATGTGGTATTTAACCAACCAATTCTACGCATATTTCTGTTTTTGAAGTTTATTTTTCAGGAATAAATTTTATTAAGTAAAATCAGGGTTGAAGTTGCATTGAAAATCAGGAAAGGATCATTTTTGTTGCAGGGTTTTGATTAATTAATTATGCGTTATGATTTTAGCTAATTATGTTGTAACTATTTGCAATAAATTTACAGCAATTAAAAATGCAATTTCATAAACATTGATGGTGAATTGATGACACATAGATGCATCATGAATGTAATTGCATTTTTAAACCCAAAGATTGCAAATTGATGTGTTTTTGATGGAATATGGATATACAAAACAACATTTTCATAAGCATTAAAGGACGTTGTTGAACCGCGGTCTTACATTGATCATACATATGGATGATTATACTTTTCGCAAAAAATGCAGTTTTTGCAAAAAAAATGCAGGAGTCGAATTATAATTTATGCTATTCACAGGATACGCCCCCCGTGTTTGCGGCGGACGCTTTTCCTTCAGGGATTCGACCCCCTGCCGACCCAAAGGGTTCCCCCTTTGTACTATTTTGAGATATCCATTATTGGCGACGAACCCTTCAAATTTTCTAAATATATACTTGTTTCGGGGGGGGGGGGGGGGCACACGCCGAAAAAACGCAATTTTTTGGTCAGAATTTTCCAAAAAGTGCCTAAAAACGCCTTTTTGGCCGGTTTTTTTTTCCAAGTTAGGACAAAACAGTGCTTTGGGAGAGCTCGAAAAATCAGTTTGGTCAACCTAAAAAGAAGTCGACAAAATTTCCGAAAATTTTTTGAAAATCAGTCCCCACCCCTCGAGAAAATCCTAGATCCGCCCCTGTGATACATGGATGCAAAATTGAGAGATCTATGATACACTTTCAAACTGCAATGCAAACCCAACCCGGGATTATTCCAGAAATAAAACTTTAACAGTTCCTTGTTGTTGTTGCCTGTAGTTGCATCGAAACGTCAATCGGTCAGATTGTGTCGCCCAACATAGTTTGGGGTCATTGTCATTTGAAAAGGTATTTCAAAATCAGTTGTAATCTGGAAATGGATTCAATCTCTAACTAATTTTTTCATCCGCTAATTGAAAACCAACAATCATGTCAGAGCAAAATGCATTTTCAAAATAATCGTTGTGTCGAAAACTCATCGTTTTCGTAAAATTTTTGTTTATTTTTTGTTCTTTTACCATGATAAAACTTCATTCGATTAAAACAAAATGGTAGGCAACTAAAATTAAAATTGTTAATCAAACAATCGACCACGTTAACTTGTCACAAAGGCACGGAGTCGATTGGCTGGAGAATTTTGAGTGGCTGCTTGTTTGATTCACAAAACGTAAGGGTGCCGGAAAAAGTTGTAGCATTGTTAAATTTGGGTGAAGTGCAGATTTACAGAATACTATCTTCGTCAATTACCTCAAATCACCTAATTTATTGGCGTGGATAATCTGTTTTTGAATTTCCAGTGTAAATTTATTGATCTTATGAAATTTTTGTTTTGTATTCTTCCAAAAAATTAAAAATTTGAACGAGTGCTTATGTTGGTTTTAGGAATTGAAGATCCAGGTATTTCTGTTTATTATCATGTTATAACAACTACCCCTAATTGTTCAAAATGTATGTTCCTGTAAAATTCCAAAGTAAGTTTTCGAATACTTTTAATAATTTGATGATCTTTGGGCATTTTCGAGAATTTGAAGTTTTTAAAAATGATTTCAGCAATCTTATTTGCTGAGAAACTGTTTAAGCTGCATGTGTTTCGCCAAATGCCAGGGTCTTATATCTCCTAAATTTTGTGTAGTACTTACAAGAAATCGTCATTTCTAACAAAGTTCCATTTCATTAATAGAGAGGTGATCGTTTTCTAGAGTAGCAGCTACTCACGCATGTTTTAACCTAAAACGCGGAAAAAACATCATTACTTAACTGATACTTTCTAGTCTCTGAGTTTCTGAAGTATTTTCTTAATAAACCAAATTGCTGAATCTTTTTGCCAATATTTTTCTTTTTGAAATTTCAAAAATTACGGGATTTTGTGGTCAGATCAGGGGCGGATCTATGATTTTCTCGAGGGGCGGATTTTCAAAAATTTTTCGAAAATATTGACTTTTTTTAGGTCGGTTAAATTGATTTTGGGAGCTCTCCTAAAGCAGTAAAAATACGCTGTTTTGGTCTAATATTCAGCGCCGCAGGCAAATTTTTGAAAAAACAGGTCAAAGGAGCCATTTTTGGGCATTTTTTGGAAAATTTTCATTAAAAAAACGCTTTTTTTTGGCGCGCGCTCTCCCTCAAAGTTAGTTTATATTGGCGCCAAAGGCGCCTTTAGCAAAATTTAAGGGTCCATCACCAAAAATGGATTTCTTAAAAACTACCAAAGGGGGGACCCTTTGGGTCGGCATGGGGTCGAATCCCTGAAGGAAAGGCGTCCGCCCCCCCCCCCCCATCCCCCCCCCCAAATTCGCCCCTGGGTCAGATCCTTCCAAACGTCATTTTAAAACAGTTCCTAAACTAATTTTACCTGATTCACCTAAAAAAATTGCTGAATTGAGTTTTTTCAGTGTTTTGGGAAAGCTCTTAAAATCAAATTTGCATGAGAAAAGCGTCGTCAAATTTTCGAATCGTCCTGACTCGGTACACAATGAGACTTTTTTAAGAACTGGACATTTTCCTGAAGAAAACCTGGGGAATTTCTTTGCATTTTTTCTGTGTTAGATTTCAAACCCGCCTGTTTTAACAAAAAATGAGGTCAATCGGAAACTATACAAATTTAAAGCCATTTTTTTGAAATTAAAAAACTAAAAGCATAAATACTTTAGGAAGTAAAGTATTTTAACAATTATTTTAATAATTACATAAAAATTAACCATTACATCAAAAAAACACCAGACAAAAAGCTTTAGATTCTCTGAACAATTAAAGTTAGCGCATAATTTATTTTTACCAGTAGATATGATTATTTAATGAATTAAACAATATTTAATTTGTTTTCAGAAAGAGAAAGACTCAAAAGACAGGGTTCGAAAGGAGACAAAAATAGGACTTCCTGATGCAAATGGCTCGCTTGTTGTAAACAACAACAATAACAACAACAACAAAGCTAAGGGTGACAGCCTAGCTTGAAATAAACCAGGCCGAAAAATTCTTGAAAAAAAAATTATCTCAATTATGTTTTACAGACAATCCATTCGAATTCTTTTTTAATTTCATTTTCTGCAAATATCAGAAACTTCAGCAAAAAAAATGGTAAATTTTGAAACATTTTGATTGCTAGCTTTACTGATAGATGTTTATGAGTTGATAGTTTTGTGAGATCAAGTTAATATGCTCCTCACAACCCCCCTTCCTTCCTCCCACCCCCCCCCCCCAGATAGACCGTAATTTTATCTTCCATACACAGCCTTTAATTCAGATTAAGTTTGCTAAGCTATGCATGAAAAACGATTGATTTAAACTGCCCTGGGGGAGGATGTTACCTTGGACATTTTGTGTTTTAAACGTTGCTAGTAATTTAGTTTTAATCATAGTATCAAAAAAAACCGCCGGATAAATAATGCTAGTGACATCTGGCTAGGATAACTTTCTTTGAGAAAAATAATCAAACTTTGTCAACCAATCTGTTATTGCCTGCAAAAAAGTGTCAGAAATCCAAACTCCAAATTTTACTAACAAGCTGATCACTAATTTTGTAGATATTTTGAACCAGATATTTCTGTAAAAATTAATTTGTTTTTGCGTACAAAAATGTACATATATTTTGTAATTTCAACTTGTCATTTAGGTATTGATTTGAAATCCTTTTTTCAATGTTAATTTATTTTATGTGCTTTTATTTCAAATAAAAAAAACCAGCCCAAGCTTATGGAAAGTTGAAAATTTTTAATTTCTTTCGAATCAATCTGTTTTGTTTGCTTAGTTTAACCTTTAAAAGGCATTCAGTTTCAAGAGTGAGCAATCTTAAAATTTTTTTTAGCATAACTGATTAGAAGTTGAATCTAATTGTACGTTCAGAAAGTATGGTTAATTATCTGCATACTTAAATTTTAATAATCGGTTATAATTTTTAATTTTTTTTGCGTGATTATAATTAATTCTAACAGACTATTTTCTTCATAATCTTTGAAATGAATGAAATTTTGGAGCACTGCTCAGTGTATTGAAAAGTTAATCATTGGAATTGCGCCATTACCACGCTAAGTTTTAATTAATCTGTGGTCTTTCTTCTAAAAAATTTTAAGTTTTTTTTCAGCATTAGTAAATTGGTTTCCAAAGTTTTTGTTTCTTAATCTGAGGGCAAAAGCGACAATTAAATGCTCAAACTTTTAATTTAATTTTTTTACTTCAATTTTTACGCACATAGCTCGCATTCCGACAAAACTAGTCCAACACAAAATTAAAACGCAACACAACCTATTAAACAAAAACTAGCCGAAACATTTGTTTTTTAATTTCAGACGAAGAAAAAGATTTAAAAAAATAGATTACTTGAAAGCTTGAAATCTGTATGCTGACAATGAAGTTTAACCTTGCCTTTGTCAAAGCGCAGAGTGGACAGTTTCATACGTATCAGTTAGGGTTTCGAACCAAAATTTCTGCTTTGTTAGACAAAGACGTTTCCATCGGATGGAAAATTTTGATTTTTACTAAATCCCAAAATAGTAAACAAATTATCGATGCTTTGAGTTCGAAAGAGCCAGAAAGGTTCTGTGATTTTTTTGATCTGTCTTATTTTGCATTCTGTGCAGGTGTTGAATTCTTTCGCTTGGCATTAGTCACATAAGAAGTACGGTTAATTTATGTCTCGCAGTTCATCTCCTCGACATGCACGCAGAAGTGCCTACGCAAACAAAAACAGCAAAATCTTTTTCACAATTAGTTTTATATACAATATATATATATGTCTTACTATACCAAAATTTTTGTGTTGAGAATGACAAAATTATAACAGAAAACAAAACTTTGTTAACTTGAACAAACCATATTCGCCTAATTAAACGTGGGTCCAAAAAACAAACAGTTTGTTTCTAGCTACTGTTAAACAAAAGTGATGTTTTACTATCACAAAAAGAATTAAGACAAGTAATTATCTGCTTCCCTTAAAATCTTTTTGTGAGTTGGCAAAAGTGTTCTCATGTTGACTAAGGAATATTAGGTTGAATAAACAATGAATTGTTCGAATTAAAAAATGAGAAACTTCCTAAAATATTAATACAACACTAGCTTGATTCTGACTTTTGTAAAATGAATATACTGTAGCAAGGAGTAGCACCGAGACCTTGTTTCAGTCTAAAATATCTGCATATTGGTTTGCTAACATAAACCGAATACGCTTGTCCCACAAATCTATGAAAGACTTCGAGGTGAAAGTTATAGTCTTTCAATTTTCTTACGCGGAAATTATGTGGGTTGCTTTTTATATGGGAACACTGACATTTAAAACTCAAAAAAATGTCAATACGTATAACAAACACTAAACATTTTCAAAATTTTCTCTTAAATGTCAAATTTATAATTTTATGCCCTTTACGCAGTCCCTACGATGAAAATTTTCAATTAAGTAGATTTCTCAATTAAAGTAGCTTGCATTCAGTAGAACTTAAATTTCATATAATTCCAAACTATGAACGAATGTTAGTCATATTTTTGGCACGCAATTTTCAAAGAAGGAAACCTATCCCATTTGTTCCGACTTTCAAAGAAAATGTCGGAATATTTGTGCTCGGGTGTTTTTTTTCTCCAGACAAGTTTTGACTTCTTAACTAGCTTTTTTGACAGAAATTTTCAATATCACTTGATAAGTAGTGTTGCTGTGGGCTCAAATTTAAAAATATATTCTATCTGTGATTATTATTTTTTTTAATTATGAGGATTTAAAAAATTCCAAATTGGATCATTTGGGACAATTAACGCGCGATATCGGAGGTTCAATCCTTCTCATGAGTTCAAATCGGTTGGATCAGGCTATTCGTCATAATTACTACTTTACTAGGGATAAAATCTATCACTTTGTGTTTTATATGGCTTCTGAGGGGATGTTTTTTAGGAAAAATCTCCAGCTTTTTTCAAAATTATTCAAACGTTTTTCATTTTCTTTTCAATAGTTTTCCTCGCAAGTTTCAAGCAAACACTGCTCCACAGACCTTGTTGGCAGTCTTGCTGGTTTTGCCATGCCCATCATTACTGCTTCAATGAAATTCCAGTATGCATCAGACTCTGTACGAAATCACTCTAACTTTGGTCAAAGATTGAATTTAAAAAAATCCTATTACTTTGTTAATCACGGTACAGAAAGCTCATTTCAATTAACCGGACAAAACGAAAAAAAAACGAGTTTTTCCCCAATTGAGTTAATTTTAGACAAAAAATGACGAGGAAAAGTCTTGCATACAAATTCAGCAGAATTCAAACGCTTTATATTTTAGGCAAATTTTTGGCTGAAATTTTTACTCCAAACCGATATTCTTTGGTTTTTTAGTTAATAACGCCAATACTGACAAATCAAATGCTGATAAAACTATATCGAAATGATATTTTTTATTTCAACAAAATTTAAATGGTGACAAGAGTGCTCGCATCAGGGAGAAATCTTCCGACTATCTTTCAAGTTCTATGGAGCAGTGCTTGCTTTAAAAATGTTGATGGAACTATCAAAAAGTAACAAAAAAGAGAGCTATAAAATTTTGAAAGCAGCTTGAGATATTTTCGAAAACATTTTCCTTCAAACCAAAGAAACCAAAGTTACAGTTTTTAACCCTAGTATCATAGCAATAGAATTGAACATCCGCTTGCGCGTTAATAGCGCGAAATATAACGCGCATTAATTGTCCTAAGTTGAACAAATTGACAATTTTTAAACCCACATAATTTTACGAAACACAATCACAGGTTCAATATCTTTTTAAAATTGAGCTAAGGGTAATATAAATTTTCGAGTGCTATAAAAAATTTGTCAAAAGGCTTGTTAAACATTCGTGTTTGGAGAAAAAAATATTCCGTCTCCAAAAAACGTCTAAAATTTGGAGCAAAAAGTTCAAATTTTTTTTCAAATTATCGTTATTTTTATTGGTTAATAGAAAATGACTTTTTTGGCTGTCCAGCGAAAACAAATTTTTTAATTCTAAAATGAAAAGTTCATGTCCTCCAAATTTTTTGAAGATTACTCAATTGCTTTACTTGCTCGAGATTTTACTAAATCTCAAAAAATATTAACCTTTTTCTCGACAATGGAACATTTTTCAAAATCTTTTGATGACGTTCAAATCACAATTGAAAGGGCTCACATATGATATATTACTCGACCCAATCCAATAATTTTTGTAGTACTTGATTTTTAAATAAACAAAAAAAATTATTACATCCGAATACAAAGTTTCTCCCCATTTTCTATGTTCAAACAGAAAAAATAAATTATAATACCAAACAAAGCGCTTCTAGCAGCCAATTTGTTTTGATAACTCAAAAATTTCCAGAAAATTATGCTGCTAAACTCTAAGAATCATATTGGATTCAAAACTAATTCAATTGTTTAGCCAGCCAATTGTTGATTATATATTAACTGTTTATAACTCATGTCTTTTGATGAGGTAAAACCTTCTTCTACAACGGACACATTAGCGGGTTTCAAAAAAGATGTGAAAGTCTCGTTGTTTGTCCTAAAATAGAATTTATATAGCAATCATGAGTTTTCAGATTCTTTTTAGTAGCAAAATTCACCCAAGATTCAAAAATGAGTTCAGTGTTGTGCTTGCTCAAGAAAAGCATTGGTCGAGGTTTCCTCGATAAAATGGCTGGAGAAACACGTCGTCTCATATTTCTTCTTATTTTGTCCATACAAACTCCTAACATGGACCTGAAAAAACCACACGGTAAGCGTTCTGATTTGTGTTTATTCACTGTCTGTATTACTGGATCATCGTCGACATCTGGTATTTTGAACCATCTGAGAAACAAACTAGTTGCAATCGGATATGAGATAGATATCAATTGAGTTCGGTATCAAAACTTTGACCAAAAGCGGGCCCTTATTGATAGAATATCACCAATTTCAGCTTATTTAGTTTAACACTCAAAATTCGTAATATAAAAAACTGTCAAAGTAAAATTGATTTATTTTCCAAAAAACTTTCAAATTTTGATAAAATATATCCAGAATTTGTTTCATGTTTTTTTTTACTCTCAACAAATTACACATTTTGCTTCCAAAAAAAGTGAGAGCAGAACCTATTTTCATATCGAGCACGTTAGATCGTTCAAAAATCAAAAGTTTGTGGGAACCCATACACTCATTCATGCTCGCTGATTACCAAATACAACACCCTATTTGGGCAGGGGGTTTCGTACCTTAAATGCTTTTTAAATCC